AAAATGACCTTGTATCTATCTTGTAAACTATTGACATTTTTAAAAATATAAGCTCATCCTGACCTTTGACATGTTACACTCATCAAGACCTTTCATTTGAGTACCCACATCAATTTTTCATATATTTTATATATTTATATATATATATATATATAATATATATGTATACATCAAAAAATATATAAAAAATGCGAGTGGGTACTCAAATGAAAGCTCTTGATGAGTGTAATATCGGGATGAGCTTATATCTTTATAAATGTCAATATTTAAGAAAGTGCAGTGTAATTTAACATAATTAAGAAACGACCTTGTATCTTGTGAGCTATTGACATTTTTAAAGATATAAGCTCATCCCGATGTTATACTCATCAAGACCTTTCATTTGAGTACCCACATCAATTTTTCATATATTTATATATATATGTATATATGAAAAATATATCAAAAATGCATATGGGTACTCAAACGAAAGCTCTTAATGAGAGTAACTTCGGAATGAGTGTATAATATCTTTAAAAACATCAATAGTTAAAAAAGTACAGTGCAATTAAACAAAATTCATTATTTAATAAAGCAAAAATTTTATTTATTTATAGTTCACAAGTCAAGGCCGCTTAAATATGAGAAAAATGATTATTTTATTTCTAATAATTCATCCTTTGATTGATATAAGAGACACAAGCACAAGTATAAATAATAAATATAATTCTTTGATAATTTACGATGATAATATAAATAAATGAATAATTTAATCCATCTGCACTTGAAAGTGTTAATGCAATATGTTAATGCAATATAGCGGAAGTATATAAAACCTTCACCATGGACTACTTCCACTCTGTGGTAACTGACCTTCGTCTCGTGGTGAGAATGCACTGCTGTCAAGAACTATTACCAGCCAGCCATGCAACTTTGTTTCCTATAACAAATACAATACCCGCATAATACCGTATTTTTTTCTTAATGAACTTTTTTTTCTTATTATCCACGCTGTAATTATCTAATAAACACATTTTAAATATTTTTAATTTACTATCACTGTTTAAACTTGCACCTAACATTTAAATAAATTCTTCTTTAATACTTTTATTATTTTCATAAACAAAATAAAATAATAAATATCGAATTACTAGCATGTTAATTACTTACAACTATTTTATAGTCATCATAAATATTTTTTTTTAAGATTTCTTCCTGAAGATTACGATCATAAACCCCTGATCTAAAATATACTAGCTTGCAAAAAAAAAAAAAAATTAACATACTACCTTTCTTCTCCTAAACTTGCTTATAAAAAATCCGAAGCTCTTGAAACTTGAAATTAAACGAGAATCTTTGGAGTATAAATTATCAGACTCTTAATTCTCATTCTCTTAAATATAAAAGCGTAAGAAATAATTCGATTCGTTGCTATTTTATGTATTAGAGTTTATTGAAATAATTAATTACCCGATATATTAGAATGTAGGATCACGATAACGATTATCCTCCGGTCCCTCGACCTTTACCAGGGGAATAAATTCGACCTTCGATCTCGGCAAGACAAACCGGGAACGGGAAGTTAGTCAATAGTCAAAGAGCCTTCTTATTCTCTTCTCTTCTTGCTAAGCTTGTTCGTCTTAGCAGCTCGATGGCATCGACCTCGGTTGCAAACGTCCTCGGGCCACGTCTCGTCTATGAAAAAAAAAGCACGAGTGCGTGTACCTGACTAGTCTTCTTAGTCTTGGTCTTCTACATTCTGTATTCTATAACACAGCCCAAGTATTAGCCAAGTGTAGGTTTAGTATCAAGGATTAGACTTTGCCCGATAGAGGACTAAAGACTAAAGACAGAGGACCAATACAAGGACTGAGGACGAAGCTCTCAAGGCAAATATAATGGTATCAGGCGTCTTGTCTCCGACAAAATATCTAAAAATTTTTGATTTTTTTTATTAATTAAATTACAACTATAAAGATATTTCCAAAAAATTGCACTTATAGTTTTTTAAATTTTTTACATGTGAAATTTTTCAATAAAAAATTTTGAAATGTCGGCTAACTTCATTTTCATTAATTTTTTATATTAATTATTAAAAGTTTAAAAGCTATTATTGAAGAAAAATTTTTTCATCATAAAAAATATAAGAAAAAAAAGAAAATTCAATTTTTAAATAATTCAATCAACTTTTTTAATAATTATTAAAAATTGAGAGGCAAAAATAAAAAAATTATTAACTATTTATTCTTAATAATTATTTTTAGAGTAAAAAACTGGCGTAGTAAATTATTAAAAAATATAATCTCCGGACAAAATATCCCTGAGACTAAATATCACTCAAATTCCATGATTAAAAGGGTACAACAATATTTTAAGTTTTTATAAAGTTGTACTGTGAATATTTGTTGAAGTGCCATTAATAAGTGTTAAAATAAAATTGATAATTGTTTTGAAATTTATTGTTTTATTAAAAATTTAATCATTAAAATTATTTAATATTTAATATTTAATCATTAAAAATTTAATTTAATTATTTAAGATATTTTGTCCGGGATATTTTGTCGAAGGACCAAGAATCATGGAACCAAATATAATATCAGAGCAGACCTGGATGGACATGCTGGCTGGGTTGTGTAAGTGGCTAGGATGTAAAATGAATCAGTTTTGTGAAAGGTGTGTGTACATCAGCTTCAACGACACCTGTAGACCTGCCTGTGAGTTTGTATGAGTTAAGTTTGTTGTAGGATATAGGATGGACTTGGACTTCTCCATCCTTAATGGAGGTTTGCCTGATGGAGGTTACTCGAGGTTATTGTCCTACATTTCCTTCTATCCAGGCATTGGATATTAACTTGTATCTTCGTTGGACTCGTTGCATTCTCTTTCCTCTTACATCCACTGTAAGTCTTTACTTCTGGGTGCCCGACACTAATATAATGTAAGAGTCAAGTTGAGTCTCCTACTTCTCCCCCTGCTGCGTTCATTCGTGTCCAACAAGAATGCTGTAGTTACTGTTTACTGTTTAGCTGTCCCCTCTCGTCACCAGTTTTCTTTCCTTAATTCCTATTCTCAGTCCGAGATTTTACTAAATGTAAACAGGATAAGATAATTCATCACTGCTGCTTCGGGTTTTTTATTTTTACTCTAATCAGGTGTTTTATCGCTTCACCTTCTCTTCTTGGCCTTATCTTCCCTTTTCCTTTTTTCTTTCGTTTGCTTTTTGATATAAACTTAACAATAAAACAAGTTAAATAATATTCTATTATATTAATAATTTTTTTTTTCTTCAGTTTTTATTTCAGGGTCAAGTGCAATCTCTCTTACACCTTTTACTTGGTATTTTCTATGAAAACAAAAAATATTTATTTAGTTTAATTTCATTATCTTGTAAAAGTAACTTACTTGTAATTGATACTTGCAAATAGAAATGATATACAATACATATATAGACTATCTTGAAAGTACATTCAACTTGCGTTGAATGACCTCGGACAATAATGTCCCGTGGATTTGGCAGACGTTGCTATCTAAGGCAATAATTTATTTTTTTGACACCTTAACAATTTTTTTAAAACATAAAAATTAAATTGTAATGTTAATTTATGACATTAAAGTTAGCAATCACTAGAGAATTTTTTTTAACAAAAAAATTTGTTCCAAAAAATTGTTTTTAAAAAATTGCATTTTTTAAAAATTTTTTTACAATTTCTACATGTCAATTTTTTTTTTTGCCATAATTTATTTGTTAAAAATAATTCTAAAAATTTATCATTGTTAATTTTTATAGTTACCGTTAATATTTTATACCTCTGAATTTTAATTGCGCTTGATCGGATTTCGGTCTGTCTCAAGGTCAAGTTCATTTTATGCTTCGGCTAATAAATGCCTTAAATTTTTTTTCTTTTTGTGGGACTATGCTAGAAATTTTTCGTTAATCAACTAAAAAAAAATAAACAGAGGTGAAAAAAAAAATAATTAAGGGGTGAAATAACAAGTTGTTTGTTTCTTCCAGGTAAGACAGTTCGTTGATATTGATATTATCCTGTGTAGTAAGCACAAGAAGATACGAAAAGTAAATAGTTACATAAGAAAGGTAAAGGATCTCTTCTGCTCTCCTTGGGCGATCCACATCCGCGATTATGCCACTTTCCATTGACCTCGCTTTATCTTTCTTGAAAGCCACGCGCACGCGCGCTTATATCAATCACAACCGCGCTCTTCCGCTTATATATTTATTTATCCGCCATTTTTTTTTTTTTGCAATAATTAAACAAAAATTTTATGATTTTTTATATTTAATTTATCGAATAAAATTAAATACTTAAATTTTTTAAGTTATTTATTATAATTACCCACATTTATTTCTTCTTTCATTAAATGTCATTATTATTTATTTATTATTAATATTAAACATCCTTGTTAATTTGTGAATGAATAAATTCAAAGTATAGTTTTATTTTTCGCCGCTAGGAGTCTCTAGTTCTTCCCAAACACGCTAAATGCAACATGTGTTGTTGTTCTTTTGTTTTAACTGTAATTGATCCTTTGTATTTTGTCAATGAAAATTATAAATTATATTTTTAAAAGTTTTGACAAACAAAAAAAGATTTTGTCTTTTAATATTATTATTATTAATAATTATTCTTCAGTAAAAATAAACTCAGGTATTTATAATATGAAAATTAATTTAGCAGATATTTGATAATTTTAAAAATTTTTGTAACAAATAAATTATAGCCAAAAAAATTAGAAAAGAAAAATGACATGTAGAAATTAAAAAAAATTGAAAATCCAATTTTTTAAAAATAATTTTTTGGATTAAATTTATTTGTTAAAAAAAATTTTAAAATAGTCAAGTGACTGCTCACTTTAAATTAATTTACTTTATTTCTGGATTTGTAATAATTTTAATTTTTAAATTGACAATTAAAAATTATTATTTTTTTTTTTTAATAATATGTTTTGTTCTAGCTGGATGACATTTTGCACACTTTTATAACGACTATCAAAGATTTTAAACAATGCCGAGTAAAAGAAGAACCAAAAAAGGTCTCTCTATAAGACTCAGATGCAGGCAAATGTTATAAAATTGATTATATCTTATAAATAATATTTACTATAATTTATTAATAAATAAATATTTTTACAGGCGACTAGCAAAAGAAAGAAAAAAGTTAGCGTTTTTAAAACTTGCTGATAGTATTTTCGAAAATAAAAATGCAAGTTCTACTCCTGCTGAAAATAAGTCTTCAAAATCAAATCTTGAAGTTCCAAGTGAAGTTGATGAAAATGAAGAAGAAGAAATTATTTATGAAGAAATAGAGGGTTATTTTCCTGAAGAAAGATTAGAAGAAACATCCAATATTGATAACAGCGAAGACTTCATAGGATTAAATCAGTCGAATGATTTAAATAATTGCACTAAAGAAGAACAGGAAGAAAGATTGGTTATTAAAATAGATCCTGCAGAATACTTGTCAGAATTAAATCAGTCAAATGGTTCAGATAATTGCAGCGAAGAAAACTTGAATATTAAAATTGAACCGATAGAAGACTTGTCAGAATTAAATCAGTTAGATAATTTAGTTTATTGCACCGAAGAAAAAGAACAAAATGTTGACAATAATTCAAGCAAAATTCACGCATTAAATCTTCCAAGATTAAATAAGTTTACTTCTAACTACGAGGTAAAGTACAAAGCTGTTGTTATTTTATCTCATGATTTAGATTATTATTCGGAGGAAGAAGAAGAAATACCAGCATTTAATTCTGATGAAATAGACAAAAAAATTAAAACATAATGACCATTTAATTCAAATTTAAACTCAGTATTATTCTTAATATTTATTTTTCCGGCGTTTACTTTTTTTTTTTTTTTTTTTTTCGTATTACTACGCTTTGCGTCATCGAGAAGCAACGGTATTTCAAACTCGGGTTCAGACAACAATACAATAGACAGTAAAGTTACCAAAAATACTTCTCATAACTTTTCCTCTCCTTCTAACATTTACTTTCACTGTAAGATTTTTGGGGTTTGATTATCTTACATCAACTTGTGGTGTCACGGATGGTGTACACCAATGAACTTAAGCCACTCGATTTCGTTTAAGGATTACAAGTGGAAAAGTAAAAAAGCCATGACGTTGTTTGATTTATTTTAAATAGCTTACTTTAAGCACCGGTTACTTTTTAGTGAGTAAAAAATCTTTTTAGAGTAGAGGTTACTCCAGGACAATGTTCTAAAAAGAAATTGGTCTTTTGTTTTTATGTTCATTGAACTATTAGATGTATAAGATTAAGATATACATAATAAATGTTTATATTTATGAGATAATTCAGTCAATAACATTTATTAGATATTTATTATATTGTTGAATATATTATATGTTTGTACAATTAATAGTTAACATTTATAAAGTTTCTTTGGAAGACAAAAACAATGGTCAGTAATGTTTGATAGCTTGTAATAAAATCTGAGAAACTTATTTATATGTCTATTTTTAAAATTCAATTATTTTATTTTACTATGCCGTAGATAATTATAAAAATTTTTGTCTTAATTCTGTCAATTAAATGCATTAGTTTTTAAAAAATATTTACAAATCTATCAAATTATTTTTATAAAATTTTTTAACTGTACTATCGATGTTTGATATTTAAAATTTGAAATTATTTTATCAAAAGTATGAAATGAAAAAAATCATGCAAGTTTATAAACTACGGCAGTTAAAAAAAAAAATTAGTTGTTAACTTTTACTAAAATCTCGTCAATACTAAATTGTACTGTGATGTAATTTTATCTATAAATTGATATAGTTATTCAACGTCAAATTTTCATTATAAAAAATCGGCTTTTAGTTTTATAATAGGACTTTCAATAATATTTTTACTTTGAATTAAGCGTAATTCCTTTTTCCGAGATTCTTGAGCGCCTTTATCTTCATATTCTAAAAAAAGACATATGTTAGAATTTTGTTATCTAATTAAATTAATAAAATATTAATTAAATACTTTTAACATGTTCCATTGTATTTAAAAGTACAGCGTGCAATGTATTAATTGTTTTTTCAAGAGCCTCTTTTAAATTGTTCTGCAAAGTTGAGTGAGCCAAAAACAGCGCTGCAAAAAGATCTCCCGAACCGACGTAACTTAATGGAATTTTTGGAATGTCTAGTTTGATCATTTTACCATCTAAAACAAGAATAATTAAATTTCTGTGATTTATATTAAAATATTTTTAGTGTTTAAAAGAAAAAATACCTTTGGAATTCCCAGCAATGGCTGTTAATTCATTGTTTATGTCTATTGATGAGACTACTACTGTTTTTGGTCCTTGTCCATATAAATATTTCATAGCATTTTGAACATCACTAATTGTCGTCACTTTTTTATCAGTTAGCAACCTAAAAATTTTAATATTTAATTACAGTACTTAATACTTAAATTTTTTTAATTTATTTACTCCAATTCGAATTGATTTGGCGTTATAATATCAGCTAAAGGTACGATTTCTTTCTTATAAATTTCTATCAGCTCTTTAGGTACATATAATTTTCCATCGTCCCCCAAAACTGGATCACACACTGAAATTAATATCAACCAGCTATTAATTAGATATTAAATAGAGTATTAAAAAAATAAATGATACTGACATCTAAAAATTTTTTTAATAATTAAATTAAAATGAAAAAAATTTTAAGAAATATTTTTTTTTATAATAATTAATTGGTAAAAATTGTCAGATGTCTGCTAAATTCAGTATCATAAAAAAAAACTTAAAATTTACAAACAGTAAATAAGATTTGGATTTTTTTTCTTTAAAATTGGGATCACTTGCGCAATTTGCTTAAGAAATGAAGCTGACCCAACATATCCAGTAAGAAGATGAGTGTAGTTATGAAGATCATTTGCGACTAATCCATCGATTAGCTCACCTGTAAGTATCATAATATTATTATTATATAATTTTAATTTCTTCTTCTGCTAATTAAAGTAATAAATTAGACACAATAAACTTACTCAAATTATGGTCATTAAGAATGTCTCCTTTAGTGACTTTATAACCAGTATGGTTTGATAATTGCACAGAATTAATGGCGTCAACTTCGAAGCCCAGGAGCTGTAATTAGAGCAATGTAACAACAAATCCAATTTATATTACTGAGGAAATTTGGCAAAATTAAGCATGGAATATTTAGATGGTTAAGTGGGTTAATGAGTTCAAATTTTCCAGCATTAGGTCTTGAATTTAATTTTTTAATTTATCTGAAATAAAAATCAACTCCAAAAAGTTTTTGAATAATCTATCGACAATTTTTTTATCTATTTAAAATAACTCTAAAATTCAAACATAAATTTTTAATTATACTTATCTTATCAGCAATAAATTAAAAAGCTATCTTTCAATTAATAGAGTGAAGACTATTAGTATTGTTTTAATTAAAAATAATTTCTCTTAACTAATTGCGTCGTATCTTATTAACTTTGATAATTAATAAAAATAAAAATTAATTTAGCAGATATTAAATAATTTTTAACAAATAAATTACTTTAAAATTTTCTACAAGTAAAAATTTTTCTTTTAATTTAAAAAAAATTATTTTTCAATAAAATAAATTATAAAAATTTTTAATAAAAATCAAGTTAGCCGACATTTCAAAATTTTTAGAAATTTTTTATTGAAAAAATTTCAATTGAACAATTGACAAAAAAAATTTCACATGTAAAAAACTTAAAAAATGATAAGTGCAATTTTTTATAAATATCTTTTTAGTTGTAATTTAATTAATAAAAAAAATCAAAAATTTTTAGACGTCTGCTAACTTCAGTGTCATAATTTTTAAATGTCAGCTAATTTAATTTTCATAAAAAAATTGTAGAAATTAAAAAAAATTTATTTGTAGAATAAAATTAAAAAATTATCAAGCGACTGTTTAATTTTATATAAAAATAATACCTGTAGCGGAAAAGTTGCGCTTTTATTACCAACATATCCAGACACAACATGACTTTGAATGGACAAAACTCTTAATTCTTGATTATTCTCCATAATATTATTTTGATTATCAATAATAACTCCAATAACTGAAAACAGAAAAAGAACCACACCCGTCCTGCTTAGTGGTTTCACAAAAACTGAATCAGTTTATCTGAAACGTTTGATAAACCTTTAACAAATTATAAAATAAATTATATTAACATATCTAATCTCTAGAATAAAAAACTAAATAAAAGAAACATTATCGTTACGCCTGAAAGGTTATTTAGGATTTTCCGAAAGTCATTCAATCTTTACATAATAATTATAATAAAAACTTTATTATTCAATGACAAATTGATTAACATTTGACATAAGCTTTAATAAATATTGAGTAATTCTGACACTTTACTTAAATAAAAGTTTTAATAATTTTTTAATACTTACAATTGACTAGCACAACTTATTGCACTTAAAATAATTATTAAAAATTATAATTCAATTAGCAAAAGTAAATAATAAATTTATTTTTTATCTCGTGTTTTTATTATTGATTGTTGTTTTCATTATTATAGATGACAAGTGTTGTTACTCATCGAGCAGACAATTTTTTCTGACCAGCTGTTGAGTTTAGTGTCAAGTTAAGCCGCCAGGTGGCGCGACTGGCGGCACAAATAATTTTTTTCCTCGCTCGCTCTTAACTTGGCTAAACTTAATTCCCAAGTTCCAAGTTAAAGTCCAAAATAAAACTACTACATGAAATAATTTGTTAGTGTAGAGAAGTGAGAGTGAGAGAATCCCACGTAAAAGTATGGCGACGTGGGAGAGTGATAAATTTTCAGATCATTTAAATTCCGTGGGGATTGACAATAATTTTGATGGAATTCTTATAACACATGACTTACAAGACTGCTTGGATGACAGCCTTGATCTCACAAACTTCGATAAGGTTTATGATCAATCGGTTATTGAATTAAATAATCAAAATGATAAATTTAATGACGAAGATGCTTCTTATATTTCGAAACACCCTGATGACAGCTCTGGGTAAGAAAAACTTTACTGTTTTTTATATTTTCACACTATTATTTTTAACCCGCTTGTTTTTTTTTTTAACTATTCTAGGTTTTATTTTATTCACACTTGCTATTTCAGTTTATTGGAGGAAATTTTTAATCATCCATTCGTATGATGTATCTCACTTCCTTATAAGGTTACTGAAGAATTTCGAAATTGAAACTAGAAAAAAAAAATTATTGACAGTCTTCAGGAAGACGGTTTTAATTATGTGCGATAGTTGGTGTAAAAAAATTGTTTTTTTTTCTTGACATGTTTTTTTGATGATTTTTATTACTTAATAGACAGAAACAAGCAGGTGTCCTTCTTACTAAAAATAATTTAAATCTTTTGGAGTACATTTACAAGTATGATTTCCTAATATCAGGTATAATTTTTGAGTTTTACGTCATATTAGAAATTTTGCTAGAGAACTGCCAAATTATGAATAAAAATTTAAATAAAGTTTAATATTAAATCAGCTGAATAATTTTTATGACATTAAAGTTAGCAGAACTTTTTAATTTTATTTAACAAAAAAATTGTATTTTTTAAAATTTCTATGTTGATTTTTTTTTTTTCTAAAATTTATTTGTTAAAATTATCAAATATCTACTAAATTAATTTTCAAATAATTTTTTCACTGAAAAACTAACTAATAATCTATATAACTAACTAATAAGCTCATCTTGATGTTACACTCATCAAGAACTTTCATTTGAATACCCACATCAATTTTTCATATATTTTATATATTTATATATGAAAAATATATCAAAAATGCATGTGGGTACTCCAATGAAAGCCCTTAATAAATGTAACATCAGGATGAGCTTGTATCTTTAAAAATGTCAATAGTTAAGAAAGTACAGTGCAATTTAACATAATTAAGAAACGATCTTGTATTTTGTGAACTATTGACATTTTTAAAAATATAAGCTCATCCCGATGTTATACTCATCAAGACCTTTCATTTGAGTACCCACATCAATTTTTCATATATTTATATACATGTATATATGAAAAATATATCAAAAATGCATGAGGGTACTCAAATGAAAGCTCTTGATGAGTGTAACATCGGGATGAGCTTATATCTTTAAAAAAGTACAGTGAAATTTAACTAAAGTTATTATTTAATAAAGCAAAATTTGATTTATTTATAGTTTACAAGTCATAGCAGTCACATAGTGACCAAGGTTGCTAGTTTTTAACTTATTTAATTTATAATTCAATATGATTCATAAAAAAAATATTTAAAAAATTATATCTTGTTACTCTGGAAATCTGTAAATATTTTATCAGTACGATAAGAAAGTTTCCAGTTTTATTTACTTAAAATCTAAAGTCTATTTTAAACCCATGACATCATCTTCAAATAATTACTTACAATAACAATAAAAAAAATATTTTTTTTAGGTACATCCACCACACAATCAGCCCAAATGAAATATACATGCGAATCCATCCAGGGCAAGATGATTTCATGCCGGACGATCCATCTCACGCGACAATTACCATCGAGAGTACTGATCCAGATACCAATCAGAAGCATATCAGCCGATATGAATGCAAATACGACGGGTGTTCGCGAACATACAGCACCGTTGGTAACTTGAGGACTCACATGAAAACACACAAAGGTGATTTTTATTTATTTCTTCCATATAATAATAAGTAACACCTAGTCTTTAAATGTAAGCGGTTAATTTATTAATATGGATTGAAAAACATTTTTAATTAATTAACAATGCTTGGAAAGATAAAATATTTCATCGCATTTGCTTAATTGTTTTTATTCATCCATTAATGTGTCATTTAATTCGTGCTTTCGGATGTGGAATTGTCTCTTGGTGAGTATCATGCTTTAATGAATGAATATGAGAAAAAAAAAAAAAAAAAAAAAATAGAATTTCAAATAAATAAATTTATTTGTCAAAATCTATTGTATTATTTCCGCAGTTTTTTAAAAAATACAACGGGAATTGCAGAAAGGGAATTGCATAAAAAGCTTCTTCATATAAATACATGTATTCTACTCTTGTCTATAAATATTCTTGAACATCCGTGTCCGAATGTGGTTGCAAAGGGATCGCTTCGATCTGCATGGCTTTTTTCGGTTAGTGCATCATAAAATAAAAAATAAAAAATTAATAATTAGTAATTAATAACAATTTATAATTTAATAAAAAATTTTTCTTAACAAAAAAAATAATAGTTTGTAAATAATTATAAAAAAATAATTTACAGGTGAATTTCGTTTTAAATGTGCTGAACCAAATTGCGGGAAGGCTTTTCTTACATCTTACAGTTTAAAAATTCACGTTCGAGTTCATACTAAAGTAAAACCCTTTCAATGTAATCACGATGGTTGCGATAAAGCGTTCAATACTTTGTACCGATTACGAGCACACCAAAGATTACACAGCGGTAATACATTTAATTGTGAAGAAACTGGATGCGTTAAATTCTTTACAACACTAAGTGATCTCAAAAAACATACACGCACTCACACTCAAGAACGTCCTTACAAGTATGTTTTTTTTTTTACATTTTTTTTTACTTTTACCTGCACTATTTTTTATCTTATTAGTTATTATTTTTACCTTATAATTATTTTATTTTTTATTTTTTTTGTGTTATAGGTGTCGGGAGAAGGGTTGTGGAAAAGCATTTACTGCGTCGCATCATTTAAAGACCCACAAAAGAACTCACACCGGGGAGAGACCGTACACGTGCTCGTATGACAATTGCCAAAGATCGTTTACTACTCCACATAGTTTGAAAAGTCATATGAAGACGCATAAGAAAATCGCTGATGGCGAAGTATATAATAATTATCTATATTCTTTCTCTTTAGATACATGATTAAGAAATGACTTTGTATCTTGTCAACTATTGACATTTTTAAAGATATAAGCTCATCCCGATGTTACACTCATCAAGACCTTTCATTTGACTACCCACATAAATTTTTCATATATTTGATATATTTATATATTTCACATATACCATATATATATATATATATAAAATATATAAAAATGTCATGTGGGTACTTAAATGAAAGGTCTTGATGAGTGTAACATCGGGATGAGCTTATATCTTTAAAAATGTCAACAGTTCACAAAATTCGAGATCATTTCTTAATTATATTAAATTGCACTGTA